TCAGGTAGAAGCATAGTCGAGAACAAGTCAAGGGTCAATAACGAGTGTAGCAAAATATGGGTAACAGCAGAGATGATAGGAGCAAGATACTGGCTGGAGAGCACAATAATCTGGCAGACAGGAAGTGCAGAGACATGGTTTATATCAGGAGGTTCATGGGAAAAGCAAGGGGTTCAAGGTTCATGGCAAACAAGGTCAAGGCAGGATCATCCAAATAATTGTCAAGGGAGCTGTCCATCATTCCAGGTGGCTCAGCAAGATGAATCACCGCAGAAGGCCCAGGTTTGGACCCAGGCTCTGACAACTCATGAAATAATAACAGTACAGCCAGAATAAGGACATATTTACCTCTGTCAGTTAATTTGTAACTTTGTGAGCCCAAACACCGCTACCCTAGGAGTACCGGGAACAGAATCAGCGCAATTCCTCTCCTAGGCAAACTGGGCATCCAAAACCTGTTATACCTATTTTTATTCTGTAGGTAATTCAATTCCGGACAATAATATGCACATCAGCAGACTGTAACATGTAGGTATTTAAAAGATATTAATACCTATAGAAAACTGGACCTGTAGCATGATCATAAACACAGAGAAATCCCATGTCCATCCCTCAACTTCTTGGTTGGTCAGATAATTTCTGACAACACCCGCCTCACGAGCAGGAGCGCTAAAAGTTGTCAGCTCTCGTTTAAAGTGTTACTAAACCTACAACAGTAAAATCAGTCTCTATATGCAGTAAAGCACGCTTGTTATACTCACTGTGGTACCCTCTGCATTGTGTAAAAAGGCCATTTGATCCTGACTTCTCTGCCCCTCCTCTTGTTCAAATGTCCACCTGATAAGACAGACTGAACCTGTAGCCACATGCACATGCTCAGTTTGGTGTGTATTGCTAGAGAGGTTTTTTTTCTTGGGAGAGTTCATGTGATCAGCACAGGGCCAATCAGCACTGTCCAGACAGAGGTCAGGGGTTTTCAATCCTCCTAGAGCAGAAAGAAAACTCCTCCTACAAGTTGTAACCAGTGCTCTGCTGAAGTCACAAGACTGCTCTTACTGCTGATGAGAAAAGATATTTAGCAGTTTATATTTACTAAAATAATTGCATTTCCATGTTCTGTGTACTGTGGGAGACCAGATATAGTGAATGCAGGGTCCTGGGAGACCAGATATAGTGAATGCAGGGTCCTGGGAGACCAGATATAGTGAATGCAGGGTCCTGGGAGACCAGATATAGTGAATGCAGGGTCCTGGGCTTAACATCAAACCAAGGGACACTTGTCAAGACATATGGAAGCCAATAAACCATCTTGCTTGATTGATTGATTGATTGATTGATTGATTGATTGATTGGACTCTGCTGAACCAGGACATTGTTAAGTATTCTCACTCTCAACTCCTTTTTATTTCTCTGTTGCACTATTGTTTCTTTGTAATCTCTTCTTTCTTTTGTAAATATTTTATTTGGACCATTTTTTACCTTTTCATTATTAAACCATATTTTGAAAAGTGTTAAAAGTATCTCCAATGCCCTAATGCAAACTAAAAGAATCCCTGTCTCTTGAAGAGCACTAATGTAGTGTAAATCTCTGGATATACCTGTCCATGGTGACAGCATATGTTACAGACCTTCATTCTAAAATCATAAGTTGCCATTGCTAATCTTGTGAAATGTTACTACTTCTCTATATAAGTCATTGGTGGTGGCAGTTTAAAGAGTTCATTGCTTAGTTAACCTCCCTGGCGGTATGATTATTTCAGATTTTTGGTGCTGTAAGCGGTACCATTATTCTGCATGGAAATATGTAGTTTTTTTATTGTAGGCTGTAATATTTAGGAATAACTCACTGAAATCTGTCCGAACAAGAGTCTATTAAACATCCCAGGTATGATAAAATTTGAAACACGAAATCATAAATTATAATTTAATAATCATAAAAAAAATAATAATATAATAATAAAACATTTAATTCAATAATATAATCAAACCAAAAACACTGAAATTTGAAATATAGCGCCAAGTTCGCACATCACTGAGCAAAGTCGCAAAATAGTTTTCAGTGTCTGATGACGAATTTCCCCACAAATCATTATCACTCAATTCTGCAAGTGGTTCTGATTTACTATCGCTGTTCTCTAGCTGATCTAAACCCGCTTTTGACCTAAAGGGACACTTTTTGGACGCCATGGACGTTTCTCAGTTTCCAGGCAGAAAGAACAGTCAAAATGCAGACAGGGCACAGGACAAAGCACTAGGGACAAAATGTATGTGAAATGGTATGAAACAGCAATGTTTTTACTATGTACTATGTTACTTTTTTCGTTTTGAAAAAAATGACATTTTTTAAAAATTTTCAAATTTCCCGCCGCCGGTGGCGCCCGTACGTCCCAATGTCACAGGGACCGGAACACAGAAGCCGGATGCCGGCATCAGCCGGTGGAGATGGCCGGGGACGCTTCAGGGGACACATCGCGGGAGCAAAGGACAAGGTAAGCTCCGCAGGGAATCCCTATGCAGCGCCGCATGGTAAGCCCAAGTGTAGCTCGGGGTTACCACTTTTGGTACAGAAACTTTACCCCGAGCTACACTCGGGACTACCACCAGGGAGGTTAACTAAACCCAGTGACAATCACTCTCAGTCTGTTGACACTAAGATTGTGGTCCCGCAGGCTGGAAAATCTTTGTGCAGGGTGAGGCTGAGAGTGTCATTGTTGTGTATCCGTGACAGTTGACCAGTCATTTGTCACAAATTGATGAAAAGGGCATTGGTCTGACAACACGTTTGTCACAACCACTACCTGGAAGAACCCGGGGAGAAGATGCTATTGCCAGCATGAGACCCTGAAGGCATCGGACTGTTTGAGCTTAGATGGGTACTTGTCTCTTTAATTCTGATTTAAATCGCAAGTGAACTTTCAGTTTAAATTCAATAAATACATGCCAGACGTACCAAACAAACAAATATATTCTACATCTTCGAGTTCATTTTATTTCTAAAGCAACTATAGCTCGAGTATAAAAGCTGAACTTCTTGCCAGCAGCTTCAGAGTGAAACATTTGCCCAATGTGTGGAAGCAGTGGCTTCTCTGCAGAGGTGTGGAATACTTGAAAAACGAATGCTTCCTATTGATTCTATAGATCTAGCTCTGAATTAGCAGGGGGGCTTGTCAGATCTCTGCAGATCCCTACTTCCACACAGAGATCAAGGGTCCTGCTATGCAGCTGTTGGCAGGGGACAGGTTTTGTAAGGCATTGATGCACCGGGAATGTGTTTAGCTGATTTCTCATGCACACTGGACATTTTTACAGCTGCTGTTTTTGGCTTTTGACATTTTTTGACATTTTTTTCTACAGCTAGTAAACCCCCAGCATGTTATCCTATGTGTCCATGCACACATAGACTGTAATCAACGTTTTTTTTTAGCTGTAAGCTCTGGTTCACACTGATGCAGTGCGGAATTCGCAGTGTTTTCAGTGCGAATTCCGCACCACATCACAATTGCACCCCATTCATACGAACCGCTGTGGGTGTGTATGTTAACAACACCCCAAAATCGGTCCGCAAAATGCGGTGCGATGTGCAGAATTGGATCGCATAGGTGTGAATACTCATGCGATCCGATTCTAGTGTGGACCAAAAAAGGGTCCTACATGTTTTTGGTGTGGGTGTGGTGTGAATAGAGGCATACAAAATGCATGGCTCTAATTGCACCGCATACAAATCGTATGTGATTTGTAGAGCGTTGTAGTGTGAACCTAGGCTGAGGCTCCATGCACACGGGACGTTTTGATAACGCTGGTAACATTAGCTGTGTAAAGTCACGTTAAAAACATGAGTTTTTCAGCTTTTTTTAGTGTTTTTGCATTAGCGTTTAGCAGTGTTTTGCCACGTTTAGCAGCGTTTTGCCACGTTTTTCTGCATTTGTGATTTTGAGGGTTTTTTTAACCGGTTTGTGACATTTTACCACGTTTTCCTGCATTTTCCAGCATTAGAGTGTTTTTACAGCTAAAAACTCTAGAAACCCACTAGTCCTGGGTTTTTTTCCAGCAAAAAACGTCCCAGCCAAAAAATGTTGCTTACAGTCTGTGTGTGCATGGACACATAGGATAACATGCTGGGGGGTTTACTAGCTGTAGAAAAAAAATAAAAAAAGGTCAAAAGCCAAAAACAGCAGCTGTAAAAACATCCAGTGTGCATGAGGACTAAAAATGCTCTAACACTGAAAAAAGTGGCAAAACGCGGTAAATCACTGTAAAATGCCACAAACCGGCGTTTTTGGAATTATTTTTATCAAAAAAATATTTTTGGGGGTAAAAACAACCGCTAAAAAATGCTAAACACTAATGCAAAAATGCATTAACCACTTGCCGACCGCGCATAGCCGAATGACGGCTTCACCGCGGCCGGCCAGTTCTGAGTGGACGTCATATGACGTCCTCCCAGAACGCGCTCTCCTGCGCGCCCCAGGGGGGCGCGCACCCGGCGATCTCCGTGATCGCTGTGTCCTACGGACACAGCTGATCACGAGATGTGGTGAAAGGCCGATCCCACCGGCCTTTTACCACGTGATCAGCGGTGTCCAATGACACGCTGATCACAGGAAAATGCAAGTGCCGGTTCTCGGCTGCACTTTTCCTCACGCTGTCAGATCGTGAGGAAAGTACTGCCGAGAACCGGCAGTTGTCAGAGCGGGGATCGGCACCGATCATCAGGGCACTGATGATCAGTGCCCTGATGATCGGTGCCCAGCAGTGACCCCCGCAAGTTCCGATCAGCTGTGCGCCCACTACCCCGCCCCCACCCATTCCCAGCAGTGCCCCCACCTGTGCCCAGCAGTGCCCCCACCTGTGCCCAGCAGTGCCCCCACCTGTGCCACTCTGCAGTGCCACCTACCTGTGCCCAGCAGTGCCACCTACATGTGCCCAGCAGTGCCACCCACCTGTGCCCACCCACCTGTGCCCACCAGCGCCACCCACCTGTGCCCACCAGTGCCACCCACCTGTGCCCACCCACCAGTGCTGTCCACCAGTGCCACCCACCAGTGCCACCCACCAGTGCTGCCAGTCAGTGCCACCAGTCAGTGCCCAGGGGTTGTGCCAGTCAGTGCCGCCAGTCAGTGCCCAGAAGTGATGCCAGTCAGTGCCGTCTATCAGTACCCATCATCAGTGTCACCTATCAGTGCCGCCTATCAGTGCTGCATATCAGTGCCGCCTATCCGTGACCCCTAATTAGTGCTGTCTATCAGTGCCGCCTATCCGTGCCACCTCATTAGTACTGCCTATCAGTGCCCTTTAGTGCTGCCTATCAGTGCCCATCAGTGCCGCCTATCAGTGCCCATCAGTGCCGCCTCATCAACGCAAATCAGTGAAGGAGAAAAAATACCTGTTTGAAAAATTTTATAAAAGAAACAAATAAACTTTTTTTTTTTTTTCAAATTTTTTGCCCTTTTTTTAATTTATAGCGCAAAAAGTAAAGCGCCCAGTGGCGATTAAATACCACCAAAAGAAAGCTCTATTTGTGAGAAAAAAATGATCAAAATTTCATATGGGTACAAATGTTGCATGACCGCGCAATTGTCAATCAAAGTGCGGCAGCGCTGAAAGCTGAAAATTGGGCCTGGTAAGGAAGGGGGTATAAGTGCCTGGTAGGCAAGTGGTTAAGGACAGAAAAGACCATTATCTCATAAAAACCCTGCCTGTCATTGTTTTTATTTAAATTGAGTTCAATATAAACTTTTACTGATAGGTCAGTTGGGCTTTAAAGTCAGCCTGTGACACACTGAAATATTTACATATTCTTAACAAGCAATATATAATCTTTACTACACGCACCACAGAAAGACTGAAGTTGTTCTGTCAGCAGCTTAGTTCACCCTGATCCCCCCTCCCAGAGCTGCTACTTTGTGTTTAGGTTAGAGATTAGAATGCTAGTGGGCTGCCAAGTCACTGATCGAAGGGGGTATCAAGGGGGAACTGAACTGCTGAGGGAACACCTTCAGTGTTTCAGCTGTGAACTGAAAGAATGAATTACTCAACAGTGCCTGTAGCTACGGTGATCAGTGAAGGCTTGTGTTAAAGGTAACCCAGGCTGAGATGTATATGACGGGTGATGTGGTAGTATTCAGCAAGTCAGAACTGCTGATTAACCTTCTTGTTCCAGGTCAGTGAACAGAATGTTTAGAAGCCATAGATGAGCACAAAAAACAATTAAAATTTCAGCAAGGTTTGCAGTGGCTATGAAATATTTTTTTTAAGTACAGTTTATGGACAAAGTGCATATGATTTATTTCAACATATAATCTGGGATAGGATTTGGCAGACATTTTTTTCTCATTTTTGAAGAGTGGAAAAGGATGTTAAGTCCTGTTGAGTTTTTACTGCTTTCCAGGGCTCTGTTAGGACTCTTGTCAATGGGCAATGTTTACCGACATCCCAAATACACCTCAACCACAGGTCAGTCAAAAAAAACTACTGAGGTAAATAGAGTAATACATATGACAATTCAGAGACTACATTTGAGCTTTGCAGTGCCCTGATTTTCTTTGGGTGCAGCATGTCCTGTTAAAGAACTATCCCCAGAAATGTTTGTTAAATTTCCCAAGGGAGCAGTGCACATTGCAAATCTGTGCAATGGTTTAGAAATTAAATCACATATTTTTTGTCATTGCTGTGCTGTATTCCACCCCAGGCTGAAGCCCAATTTATGGACTTTCTTATAGGGAGCTATAGTAAGCATTCAACTCCCCCTCCCCCTCTTTATTCTGCAGCCCTCTATGTAATTTTGCAGCCCTGGGCCTTCTCTACTCTCCTGTGCCGACTTCCATGTCCTGAAAAGGTTTTATACACAACGACAGAAAAGACCAAGCTCACACACAATCACTAGCTAGAAAGAGACTGCGGTAGTAGCTGATGGCTTGTGTTGTGAACAGGGGCGGACTGACCATTTGGAAACTCGGGCACTGCCCGACAGCCCTGGGTCAGTAGGGGGCCCCATGAGATGCCCCTGGTACCTTTTTCATAGGCTTTTTTGAGTTTGGGCAAGGACACAGGGGCCCCATGATCCTCTATTGCCCGGGGGCCCCATGAGTTGTCAGTCCACCCCTGGTTGTGAATGATGGTGCAATGGAGAGGAGCTAGACTTGTGTAAGACTAGTGTAGTAGCTGGAGTGTGTTGTTTTAGGCTTGTGCCCTCCTCTCCAGCCTCCATCATTCACAGCACAGCAAGTCTACAGCTACTACTCTAGTCTCTCTCCTCCAAATTAGCAGACAACTGGTGGGCCGGTATGGGTATGGGAAGCAAAATTAAAAAGTGGGGCTGCAGATGTTCCATCTGACAGCTTTCACAGATGGTGGGGATGGGGTTTGTACACACTCACAATGTACTGTCTATCACTCTCCCTCTCTTCTTGCGCTGTCAGTCATAGCTAATTAAGTATGCATCTCCTTGTTAGCAGTCTGGTTGAAAATCAGTTGGGGGGGGGCTAGAGGTAGAGCTATCGGACCACTGCTCAGCAGCCACTGCACATATCTAAATTGTGTCCCTGGGGGATTTAACAAGATTTTTAAAGAATTTAAAAGGTACATTTGAACTGCAGGTATGAAGCTTAAATACAAATATTCAATATTGATGTAGCGCTGTGATAATTAAATATCCAATCAATAACGATTAAACACAATAGCTGTATCACTTAACAATAGAGTGGATTTCAACCGTGAGAAAACAGTGTATTCTGTGTCAAACAGCCCACACAATCTCGGCACACAGTGATTCCCTCTATAACATATAAATCGCTATTTATAGATGGTAAAGACAAAAAATTACAGTCCACAGTATCCAGTGTAGATGTATAAACACGCTTTTAGAGGACACACATGCTTCTGTGCTCGTGCAAGTGGTAGGTGACAATCCTTATATGGCTAGCATGCCCGCTCACCTTCCCCCTGCGACCCACAGGGGCCAAATAGCCTTATGGGTCACACCTGGACCCTATGCGTTTTTCTCCAGGTGCAAGGTACTCCTCACTCTCCAATGACGAAGCTACGAGGGGCGTGGCGTAACGCGTAGTGTGACGTAGTTGACGTGGTGACGCACTTCCGGGTTGGCGCCATTTTGCTACACCAGAGTGCCTCAGTAAACCCATGAGAGGTGTTACAAGCGATATTTTGTCTGCTGAAATGTGAGTTGCAACTTGGCGATTTTAAACAGAATAAATGTTATATACAGTTTTGCACTATGGAGGATCTTTGTGTTTTTGTTTCATGACTGCCACCATCCCATGAGTTTTTTAAGTACATGCACAGCGGTACCTATTCAGGGGGAATAGCAGATGGTGAAGGAGAGAGCATTGGAGAGTGAGGAGTACCTTGCACCTGGAGAAAACGCATAGGGTCCAGGTGTGACCCGTAAGGCTATTTGGCCCCTGTGGGTCGCAGGGGGAAGGTGAGCGGGCATGCTAGCCATATAAGGATTGTCACCTACCACTTGCACGAGCACAGAAGCATGTGTGTCCTCTAAAAGCGTGTTTATACATCTACACTGGATACTGTGGACTGTAATTTTTTGTCTTTACCATCTATAAATAGCGATTTATATGTTATAGAGGGAATCACTGTGTGCCGAGATTGTGTGGGCTGTTTGACACAGAATACACTGTTTTCTCACGGTTGAAATCCACTCTATTGTTAAGTGATACAGCTATTGTGTTTAATCGTTATTGATTGGATATTTAATTATCACAGCGCTACATCAATATTGAATATTTGTATATATATGTCCATTTAAAAGGTGAGGATTGGATGTTGGCAGCTGTCTTTATATTTTATATATCATATATTGTAAACGCAGCAGCGCAGGTGGATACATTACTTACTTTTTAGGTATGAAGCTTAAACTTAATTTCTTGTTGAACATGGCATTTTTCATTTGAATGCAGTGAATGGACAGTTGGTTGCCCCTGGATGGACAGCTTGTGCCCATGGGTGATCATCTGTCACCACCTGCAGCTAAGCAGCTGCAGCCACTGTCAGCCTGTCATTGCTTTGTACATGGCTGCAACTATCTACATCCACTGGTACATCCAGCCACATGAATCCACTGGATCTTTCACGCACCTTGCACTTGTCTCCTGTGAGAATGAGACCTTAGAGAGATTTACCTTCATTTAATGTCCTGCTGACTTTGGTGTCACTAGATAGGAAGTGAGCAAAAAGCTCACCCTAACTTCCTGTCTGGTAAAATGTTATCAGCAGAACAGGAAATGAGAAAAAATCTCTCTAGCGAAGCCCCAGATAGCAATAACAACTAACAATCTTCATCACTCTATTCAAAACAATGAAAAAAAGTTGTGACTGGGCATACACTTTTAAATAACTGAAGTTTCTTAGCAGCTGTTAAGAATTTTGCTCTGCTGCCTTTGAATAAAGCTGGCCATAGATGGACCAAAATGCGTCAAACTGAGCAGGGACTGATCGAATTTCAATCCATGTGTGGCCACTACTGCTTGACAGAAGTTGATCTAATGATTGACTTTTGTCAAATGAGGTAGTTGGAAAATTTTTCTTGATTAGTGGCTGCAGACAGTAATCAGTGTATTCTGAAAGCAGAGATTCCTGCTGTCTAAATACATTGTCCTGGGGATGGAGATTCCTCCATCCTCCTCAGTTTTGTGAATGGTGGAATACATTTATTACTTTCATTCAGCCCTCTGGCAGAGCAAAAAAAAAAAAAAAAAGATCCATCTACGGCCAGCCTGAGATACTGTACATCTGCATTATTCATCAATATGAACACTGAAAAATGTCATGTCCTCTTCTGTAAACCTTATGAGTGATATCTGTAGATTAGTTGTTTGACTAGCAAATAAAAGATGTATGGTGCACAGATAGGTGAAGGACAAAATACAGACTCTGTGAAAGGCATGATACATAAATATGTAGCTCTTTATTCGCAGAAAGAAAATGAATTGTGAAATATTACACCTGTTTGTTCTACAAAGTACAGATTCTGCATTCATAAAGGACAGCAATACATACAAGTGTCAAATCTATTAGCTGAAAAGGCTTTTGATTTTCCAAGTATTACTTTTCTCAGAATTTCGAGCAGTATACCTCGAACACAATTGATTTCATTTATTTCACCCATGCTTTGCCAGTTC